TTGGGATTTTCGAGAGAAAGATGCAAGTACCCGTCGGCGAGATACGATAAATTCCCTAAGAGTACCTTCGAAACGACCAAACGATCCTACAAAATTCACCTCGGTGATCGTTTTCACGAACGTATAAACAATGGCTAATCAATGCTCTGGCTACTTCATTCATACGATAATTTCGAATTAATACTCGAAAGTTTGTTTTCAAAGAAAATTATTCAAAGATAATATTTAATTGAGCAGAGAATCAATTGTTCATCTCATTAATTCATGTAGCATTTTGGGTAACCACGGTAAGCATTGAATCGCATTTACCGCATGATCTTTTGCGCAAACTTCCTTCCGCATTATCGGTATTATTATTATTATTATTATTATTATTATTATTATAATATTATCAGACGTCTTGGTTTATGCGTGATACATATATATATATATAGAGAGAGAGAGTTTCCTGTACGTTTAATATTAATACGCAATTTGGTCCGTTGTCTCGCGAACTATGGATATGATATATGTACGGGTGAACACGCATGTGTTTCGGTACCTATCTAATATTTATGCGAGCATTGCGAGAGGATACAAATGACGATAACGTGCTTCTATTTCGTTCAGTTCTCTGGCAGTATACGTAGTAGTAGCTCTCAGTGTCCTTGCGGTTGAAAGTTTTCCAACTGCTTTCAGCAGCAACGTTTCTGAAAAGTTAGTCGAACGTTCGCAGCTTGATCAAAGCAGACCCCCTTGTGCATCGTTGTACTCTTTACTCAGTAAGATTCTGCAAATATATTTTTAGCGGTACTAATGAAAAAAAAAACAAGAACAAAAAAAAATGTCTAAATACTTTTTTTTCTTTACTTTCGATGAATTTTATAGATTGAACGTCTCTAACGAGAATGTAAATGAAAAATAAGAGATTTCAAGTGAAACCCGGGCAAATTGGAAATCAAGTCGATCGATATATTTCAATGAAATAGATATAATTAAAAGCTGATATTGCTTGCTCTTTTACATAGAGGAATTATTGGTAACGTTTGAATTATTAGATGAATATAATTGATGTATAAATTATATAACTCGTATCTGTCTATAAAAAGGAAAATTTGATAGCTAGTTATTGGAATCTCTAAACAAAATGAAATTCTATAAACTATTAAACGCGAGATATCTACGTGAATTTGTTTCGTTAATAATTAGATTACTTTTATCGATTTAATTAATTTTATTTTGATTTTCCCTTTAATATTATTTAAATTAGAAATTTATTTGCAGGAGTATCATTTATTGGATGCAAAAAAATTCATTAAATCGAAATACCTCAGAGAAGAGAGAGAGAGAGAGAGAGTTCAAAGAAGAGAAGGTGTTCTTCTTACTACGGTAACTCGTCTGAATTATAAAACACGCGTGTGTATCGGTGGGTCCGAAATTATCATAGCACGAACAGCCACGAGGAAGTCTTTGAACTTTCGTATTACCATTTTGAGTGGTTTCACGTGTCTGCCAGTGCAGTTCTACTTCTCCGCGCGTAACATACGACGTTTCGCAAGCAACATGCATGCAAGTAAGCAACCAACCAACCTATCCGCGTATCTACCTAGATGAGTCTCCATGCGGAGACAAACTTTCGCGTTAAGGGCAATCTCGCAAAACGTTGAATTAAAATTTTGTCGTATCCTGACCACGAGTCATGAGCCACAAGATAGTTCTATTTGCATGAACATAATTAATGTAACCTTTCAGTTATTCCACTAATACGTATAATATTTTCCGTGCAAGTGACAGTAGTAAAAAAGTGTTTCTTCAAGAAAATATCATTTAAGAAAATAAAAGCTTAGATCATGCGATTCGAACACTTTTCTAGGCATAAAGAAGAGAAAGATGTTGAAAAAGTACGAGATACCTACTCTTATAGTACTATTGCAGAGTATCTTTCGTATTCCATGAGTATCCCATGGCTGAAGTAAGTTTAAGGTAACTGAGACCTTACAGAAGGAACGAGAGAAAGAGAACTCGGGAGTTGGCATGTCGTAACAATATACATATGTATACTCTTGTTGCAAGGTAACGGAAGTACGCATAAATATACATTTTTATGATGGATGTACTTGCGAGAGAAATACCGCGCATATCTATATATATATATACATGAATACATATCGTTTCGGGATGAAGATTATAAAGGTGTAGAGAGGAAAGAAGGGAAGGAAGGAAGAAAGGAAGGAAGAAAGGAAGGAAGAAAGGAAGGAAGAAAGGAAGGAAGATAGGTAGCACGACTCGGTCTTGCTCGTTTCAGGTTCGTGTTCGCTCGCACCTCGCATAACCGAGTCTCGTAAAAGGATCTCGAAACGTTTCTCGTCTTGCTTCGTTTCTTTTACATCTTCCCTCACATCCGTCGCATCTTTCATCTTTTTTTCCTTCGATATCTTTCTTAGATGTTTCCCTATCGATCACGATATCGTAAACCGGTGCTCTTTGACCGGAAACACTGAATCTACACCCTTGTGCTTGGCACGTTCCACCTCTGAGAGTTACTTTATATCTCTTTACACGAGGATCAAAAATCCTCGCCTGCCTGCCTGCCTGCCTGCCTGTCTGCCTGCCATCAATTGCTGATAGTGAACAAATTTATGCGAGTAACCGAAACTTTTACAAAAAAAAAAAATAAAACCACAACAATTTTGAAAAACCATGTTATACTTGATAAAAATATTTCCGATCGGATTGTTACTACCGAAAGTTCGTGGTTTACTCTGAATAGGGGAAAACGAGCTATTTGATTCTAATAAAAATAGATATTTTATTCAAGGAGATCTGCGAATCTGTCGTCATCATTTCAAATGTAATTAATCTCCCAAGTGCGTGTAACTAAGTACAGTTACTCTTATCATGTATAGTAATTTAGGATGGCATAATGCACACTGTTCTTACTACCATCACACCTAATTATTGCATATTCTCCAAACGAAGGTAATCTTAGCTCTCTGTGACATTTAACCGAACACCAGCCCTTCCCATTAGGTTGAAATAATTACACGAAATGCCGCAGACTGATCACCTTTTCAAGGAGAAAGCACTTTACGGGATAGTAGTACATCCTTATCGCATTTCAATCATTTTCACTTATTTATTTGGAAGTTAATTGCTAGTAGTATCATCTATGAGGCAAATTCATTATACGCGGAAACGAACCTACAATTTTCTATCCAACTCTTCGTTAGATTTATATATATATATATAAGGAAGTGTAGATAATGAGGAAGAGGGCTAGAGAAATAATAGTTGGTGCAAGAAGGGAAGATGATAAAACACACAGTCGTGATTCTTTCTTGCGGTAGAAAAATAATCGGAACTGAATCAACTCACGTTGAACCTAGACTACGGAAGTGTATACCTATGTTAGAATAGCAGGTATTGCTCGAGAAAGATGGTTCGTGTGAGGTTTGCTCTTATCGATTGCTTTCGCCCTCTTATCGCAGCTTCAGATTTATGGGAGGTCGGTGACGTACGTGAGTGCATACATACGAACAATTTTCATACCGTGCTTTTCCAAATAAAATTTATAGGAAAAAAAAAGAAAAAGAAAAAAGAGAGAAAAGAAGGAAAATTAATATTTACAACTTTACGTTCTCCAAGTTGTCTCATTGTAAGAGTTTCTCGGTTAACAGAAAATCGCATCGTGTTTGCTCGTAAAAAATGGATTGAAGGAAGGAAGGAAGTTTAAAAAAGAGAAAGCTCGTAAGTAGATAGACAGACGAACAGACAAGCAGACGTATCCCTTCGTGTTTCGAAAGTAAAAAGGGAGGGCATCTTTGTCAAAGCTCGTCAGAACTGAGTCCAATAGTAATAGATATAATCCTGAATAGTAAGAGATTAGCTTATTAGAATAGAAAAATAGAATTGTATTTTGATGTCTATGGGAATTTTGTGTAACAAGATGACATCCTCGTTGATTGGTGCCATGTTGCCTTTAACGTCTTGCCTGTCCTTATAAATTATTACACTTGACGATCCTAGGACGTGTATTAAAATCCTTTTAACCGAACATAAATAAAGGTACGCTAGTCTCCAAGTAATCTCCGGGGAGGATTACCTCAGACACACTGGTCAGGGCCTAGAGAGAGAGAGAGAGAGAGAGAGAGAAGGTATTCTCGTTTACCTTTGTGTCGTAGCAGCTTGCTCAAACGCAAGTACTCTACAGAGGGATGTTATTGAGAGTAAGGGAGAAAGAGAAACCCTTAGTTGCACCCTTAACCGAGCACTCATCGTCTCCGAAATGTTGGCTCCGTTTACAACATCGCTTTATTGTTTGTTTGTTCGGTCATACCTGAGAATGTATCATATAACACAGCTTAGTCTTACCTAAGCCACTTTTTCAAATTATTTTCAATCGAAAAATGTGTTTGACAAAAATATCTTTGACGTATTTCTATGCTAGGCCAGTGTTGATAAAAAAAATAAAGAGAAAGCAATTAATTTGAATAATCCTACATGCAGTCGAGAATATTTGCTTTGCTTTATCACTTTATTTGAATTTGATTAGATCAAGCATCATATTTTAATGATCATGCAAAAGGTATTATACGTTTCTGCGAAAAACTTTTTGTTCGATAAGACAATATCTCAAAGATCAAACAAATAATTCGATCGTAGATCAAACATAGATGTTAAATTTTGTTAAAATGATAAAAAATTAATGTTAGCATAGATGAATGTTCATTTTGGTGACTTACTCTCGATCGATAAGAAGAGAGAAACAAAGTTTCCTACAATATCGACGAAAATCTGAAAACACATATGTCGATAGGATTGTCCAAGTGCTCGCTGGATATGTTGTTTAGAAATAGATCGAGGAGAAGGATTGGTCTTGAAATCTAAAGTAGGTAGAGTATTATCGTTAGTATTAGCTAGCGAATAAAATGAGGTTCTCGTATGAATGGGCAGATGTCGAGAGGCGGCCCATAACCGGTTCGATCCGGTGCATACCGCGCACCAGAAGACGCGCATTTCATTGACCAGTCCATGGTCGAAGCCGTAAGATCAAGCCAATAGTGACCGTGCGGTGCCTACGGGAACACGTTTCGGTTCGTCAGTTTCGTTTGCGGGTACGTTCCCTAATACAGTAGTACGTGGATATAAAAGGAGAAAAAGAGAAGTAGTACAAAGGGAGTCTCCATCTTTGTTTATTCAGTCGAGTAGTTGTCTAGCTAGGTCGAGTGGAAAGGAAATAACGAAAGGGGACGAAGAAGAAGAAGAAGAAAAGAAGAGAAGGAAGGGTCTTTTGGTCATCGTTGTCTCATAGTCTACTACACTTACTTATTATATACTACTGTCTATTTATTCGATCGCTAAGTATATCAAGAAGATAAAGGAAAACTGCAACTCTTCTTCAGCAATACCAGTATTCAGCGGCGAGAATCGCGTAGCAGGACTAGGTGAGTCATCGTCGTCCTCGGTGATGGTGGTAGTCTGCCTTTTACGATTTCGAAAGAAACAACAACAAAATATAAAAGAAAAAGTAATCTCGAAGCGATCGATCCTTGAACTAACTCACCGACATGAGATATACACGATAGATCGTACTTTTAACTTTTCTTATGACATTAAAATATCGCGTGTAACTTTTTGCTTTGTTAAGAAAAAAAATTGAAGATTAAAATGATCGTAGGTAGGTCACGATTAGTACAATAGTAGGTCGGTGTTAGGTCGGTGTTAGGGCGGTACTAGGTCGTAAAGTATAATAGATAACGACGAGGATGGCAACAACGACAACGACAACGACGACGACGACGACGACGACGACGATGACGACGATGACGGTGATGACGATGCCGTTACATCGTCGTCGGATGATTATTATTATGACGCCGTCTGACGTCGGTTCTGGTGGTGGAGGCGCTGCCAAGCAAAGGCCGAGTCAAGCTAGATCGATCTGTTTCCTGTCCCGTCAAAAACCAGACTACTTACTTTCTTTATTTCTTATCAATCAAATCGAATTGAACAAATTTAATGCTCAAATATAAACCAATAATATTTCTTATTACAAATATTCCTCTAATGTTAAATGAAACAAAGCAATCGCTTTGTTTTTATGTAAAATTATAAACTCGGTGTCATCGGCTGTTCGCGCGGTACTTTTAATTACGTTCAAGGAAAATTGCAATTTTATTGATAAAGAAAATGTATTTAAGATCATTCGTTTTATCAAAATTGCGCTCTCACAGAACCATCCCGATCGATTTTCCTTGCTCGTGCGTGCGACTCAACAATTTCCATCGATGACGTCCAACTCTGTGAGAACTGCAGTTGATTTTACTTAAAAACATTCCTGCAGACTTTGTTTTTCATTCTAAAAGAATTCATTGCACCTGTCTTAGATTAATTGAGAGAGATGCGTTTCTTGTGATATGTAAACTGTTTTATTTTACACGTTTTTATTGATACCGATAAAAAGAGATAAACTCGAACGTGTCGTAAAGTTTCCTTTTTTATTTCTTTTTTCCTTCTCGTTTTCTCCGATTTAGAAGAAAATTTTAGATATCTACTTACTCGTTATGAAAGAAAGATCGAGGCTAGATGTTGGTTGTTCTAGTTATGTCGTCTATTACGTCGACATCGAGACGCCTTCGTGTTCCCTAAAGAGATCGATGAGAAGCATTAAACCGTTCGTTCGTTCGTTTTTATCCAAGAAGTATATAACCTACTTTTATTTTATATTTTATTTTTTACTCTCGTCAAGTTTTAAACCACAAAAATACTACAATATGCGTATAATTACTTTTTGACTAATTGTAAAATCGATTATGTGTATAGTATGTTGCCCAAGTTCTAATCAATTTTAATGTCTTTTTTTTATCGCATCTTATTTTGTAAATACTTCGATTCAACGGAACAATACAATTAGACAAAATTATTAACAGTATCATTCGTTATAACAGAGAAATATTAAGGTAAACTAATCAACACTGTAGATAGATTTCTTTGAAATGAACTTTGTAACTTTAATAAAGTAGGGACCTCCCTAAGGTAGTCTATGGGAATATAATTGGTTCTTTATTTCTGTCTTAATTAATCACAAGTTTCTTCCGAATGATCTCTTTCATTTTTGAAATTAAAGACTGCACTATATGTGATGAATTATAATTTAGAATTTCGTCGTTATTATTTTATTACGTGTGAATTTGAACGATAAAAAATTGTCGCGTCAAACGAACAAACGAACGTAATTCTTTCTTTGGTATTTAACTGATAAAAATGTATAATAAAATGTTCAATATGACGAGACAGGAAGAACGATCGATTTATTTGACGTACTCGAGAACGACCACTTTGTTCTCCATTTGTTCGAGACACCATCATGCGAGAGCCGTTAACTTTTATAAAATGAACCGTTAATATCGACGAAGTAGACGTAATATTTTCTATTTTCGTATCGTAATAAACAATATTTATGATATAAACGATTAAAAAATAGATTTTTATTTAGATCGAAGAAGATCGAGATGGATGAATCGATCGATTGATTAACGTGTATTAATATCTTAACTTTTATTTCGCATGCGATCGCTTATAAATATTATATTTCATGCACGTTTATCGGTGATTTGATAAAAAAAAAAAGACCAAAAAAAATAAATAAACAAACAAAACGTGTTTATAAAAAAAAAAGGATCTCGATGCAAATCCACATCACATTGTCATTGTTTTTGTCTCTTACAATTAGCATGTTGTGTATCGTTACATTTTATACTACGCGATAGACCTATTTATTACGTATCCATAGATATATATATGCATACACGCATAAAGACACACACGTATGAAAGCACGGTGAGAGAGAGAGAGAGATACATTGCAGTCAGCATGCTGCCGCGCATAGTTCTATCTAAATGTGTGTATTATCACAGTCACGATGAGATCAATGAGTCTTTTCTGCATGCTGTCTTTGCACCGTCTCATGCATCTATATATATGTCCCTTACTTTTCTATCTTGTTTTTATTTTTTTTATTTCGTTCTAGCCTCTGTTGAATTCGTGCTAGAACCTATTTTCGTTGCATCGCGCGTATATACCAAAGGAAGAATGTCCGCTTATCATGAAATATTTGTGTATTATCTTATATAAATGATAATTATTCGTTGATGCCCCGAGAATAAGTCCGAAGCACGATAATGACGTTTCCTCCTTATCTTGGTTCTTCTTTCTTTTGTTCCTTTGCCTTCGTTCGTTTGCCTTATTGACGTACGAAATTGGCATATTGGCTTCGCGGGGCACGCCTATCCCCTATCGTCAAGCAGCAAAGAAGAGGAAAGTTGGCGAGGCGGGCGAAGCGAGGCGAGGGGAGGGGAAGGGAGAGGAAGCTACTCTTCGAGGAAGACTTTGGGAGAGCGAGCAAGCGGCTCATTTTTCGAAGGAGACCAGTTGTCATCGTGGGTGAGGAAACGTGGCGAGGAACGCCATGCCGGCAGGTATTGGCGCTTCGTACAGGTCCTTAGGCGACCTGGGCGAAGACGTTTACAAAAGCACGACGATCGTCGACCAGACCCAGAGCACCGGCCAAAGCGTTCTCGAGAGCGTCAAGAAGGCTTTCAGCTTCGCTTCCCCTAAAGTGGAGATCAGGAAAAAGGATCCATTGATCGAGGATCGACGAGAGAGCGTATCGATCGTATCAAGGTAATTTCATGCGAGATTACAGGGCCTACATGGTGGCGGGTGGTGCTGGTAACGGGTGGTGGTGCTGGTGACGGCTGATGGTAATCGCCGAACAGGTGCTAGTAAAAGCCGTCTTACGGAGAATATCTTTTTTTTTTTTGTTGCCTTCTTCTTATCGATCGATTGCTTTCATAAGAAAACAACACTCTCCACGAGAGTGTCTTCAAAGTGGTTCGAGGTCGAAGACATCTAAAGATATCTTACATTGCTTTTTTTTTTGTCTATTATACTCGTCGTCAGTTTCTGACTTGACTTCATTTTCTATCGTACTCCGTTCGTCGTCTTTTATATCGAATTGTTGGAATTGTTTGATTTATTGGAATGGAAAGACGAGGAATCTCGAAAGCAGCCAAGCTCGTTCGCGCGATAATCAAATACTCTCGGTCTAATGCTTAAAGTTCGAGCAATGGGACTTTGGCTATTACGGATGGTCGGAGTTTAGGACCGGAAGTTGCTACCGCGACTATTGATCGACCTCAACTAGAAAAGCAGGCCACGAGGTAAGCCGTGCATCACGCGAATCGAACAGAGAAAACACGAAGCTTCTTGTTTTAAATATGCTTTAGTCGACACCTCGAATGATGCACGTTTATGCATGAACCATAATATTCATATTCACTCTCATTCTAATTGTCATTGTTCATTTATTGATTTTTTTTTGTGTACTCCAATTTGTGTAGAGCTTTTTTAAGGCTTGCTTTCATTGTACTCTCCTTTTCTTTTTTTTTTTTTAATATTTTTACCTTTGCACGAAATGTTGTTATATGGTTGTCGTTGTTTTTCCATGGTGAAGCACAATTATCACAAATATATTATCCCCTTTTTCCTTTGTCCTTGCAACGCTCGAGTTGCGTCAGCGCGACTTTCCGTGACGCGCGACGGAAACGAGAAAACACGTTGCGGAACCGGCTCCTCGCTTCGAGGGACTCCAGGTGATCGGCTCGAAAGATCGAGGCGTGGTCGAAGATCTTCACTTCAAGATCAACCTACGACAACGTTATTTTTACTCTCGAAACTACCATTATTTTGATTATTAAGTTTTTAATCGGACGTCTTAAGTTAGTTTTCAAATGAGTTTCCATTTAACATTTTCAGTCACGTTCGTTTGGAACTCGGTCAACGTTGCATTAAACTTTTCATCTGGTCCGTTCCAACGTCCTTTAACATTTCCCAAGTTCTATCGATCGACCTAGTAAATTATTTCCAATTGACACGATAGATCAACGTTCCCATAGTTTTAAGAGAGTAAAAGAAACGATATCGTACAAAGTTTCCAATTATTAGATTGTCCAATTGTAAAGGTCCCCCAACCCCGTTATGAAATTTAGTCGATTGTGCTTTGTGATTTGTGTGTGATCGACGAGACGAAAATGACGTGAGAAAAATCGCTGGGGCCACAGGGCGTGTGTGATATTATTTGCCGCCATTTTGTTTTAGGGACAGAAACAAGATGCCGACCGCCGCCACAGCCGAGAAAACTGCACTTTTGGGGTAAGTTCCACGTGAAAAAGGAACGACGAGAGAATGGATTTGTTCAGCCTCCCCCCTAGTAGTTGTTAAAAGTATCCCCATATATTAGGTATATACTTTCTTCTTCTTGCTCTTATTCATTTTTGCTCTTTGGCTTAGTTCGAAAATCATCAATAGAATATGAGTAGCTTTAGTTCCGGGGTTGCCAGTAAGTGTATACATATATATAGTAAGAAAAACAAGCGTGAAATTTATCATCATCTACTTTCGATTTCGTTCGATTCTAATTGTGAGATTTTAATATATATTTACAGATTTAACCAAAATTTCGTTCAATCTGTATAAGAATTATAAACTTTAGGTAACAACGAGATGTTTGATCTTATTACGAAGCAACTTTAACAAAGCACTTTTGTATTCTGACTTATTTTAATTTAGTGTCGACAATGGATGACGTCGGAGACAATACGAAGATTTATTATTATAGCCTACTCGTTAACGAGTTACCGATCGATCGGCACTCACTATCTCATACGACGCATCTTTGTCACCGATAAATTGTAATATTTCATTTATGGACACGTTTCGTCGTTGATACAATTAAAGTCGATCTCAACGAAGGTTATAAACTAATATTTTCTACTATGAAACTCGTTAAGAGTCAATCGTTTTAATTGCTTTGCTCTTAGACCCTTTTAAACTTGACGAGTATTAAGAACAATTTCCAATTTCATTGATATACTCAATGATACGTTTTCCTTCCTTCCTTCCTTCCTTTCTTCCATTTCAATGCAGTTCTGACATTCACGGATCACGGATTAAAGTACACTTGAATGATTTTTAAATTCCATCGTGCACATCTGGCATAGTGCCAAAAAGATTCGCTTCACGATATCGAACGATCATAAATAATAAAAGTTTAAGTTGATTTTAGGAGTCATGTTAACGAGACATTTTTTTTTTTACTTCACCTCGGTGAATACTACAAGTTCTTCAAATGATGGGGAAGAACCTTTCTTTTTTATTACCTTGTTTATTTGACAAAAACATAGGAGATATCGTCACGTCTGGTCGTCGTTCGTTCTACTTTCCACCGAAAATTGGTTTAATGGAATTTGGCGAGAAGCCATCATTCCACCTGCAATCGTTGCCACGAGCTTTCTCTTTCTATCTTTCTTCAAAGCTTAGCTTGATTTATGTTTTTCCACGGTCGACTCGATCGATAGTTTCTTCTTCTTCTTCTTCTTCTTCTTCTTCTTCTTCTTCTTCTTCTTCTTCTTCTTTTACGTCACACACATTTTTAACATTTAATCTTTTCCTAAAATTGTATAAAAATACGTCCATTAATCAGAACAAATCAATATTTTACGAGAGAGAGAGAGAGAGAGAGGTGAAAGAAAAAGAAAAAAAAATGAACAAATAATAAAAAAAAAAAATATAAGAAAAGAAAATACTTGGGTACCGTAGCAATTGATATTATCGAGGAGACGTCCTTGATCCAGATATCTCTTTATGGACATTATATGTCGTGAGTCGCTTACTACGAGAGTCCAGGATCGTACGAGTCATTTTGTTGAATTAAAACTAAACCTTGAGAAGAACGTGTCATTTAACGCTAAACGTATCACGGACCGGTCGAATGACTCTCCTTTTGAATTATTCATTAAAATTCTTTATTGAAGATTATTGCTGCATTTTTATTGAACTCAACAACAATTATAAATTATAAATATCGTTTTAATCGTTATGTTAGCCATCAACCAATTGGCTATTATTAATTTGGTAATAAATTGCACACAAAAAAACATAGGTTTTTTAGATGATACCAATCATTGATACAAATTGGGGCTACGTAAATTGTCAATTATATTGTCATGAAATATACTGCGGATAAATAGAAGAAAAGGAGAACAGCTGACCGATGATGACGGAGGTAAACGAAAGCATAGAATTTATACTTAAAAGTACGAGATGCATAATTGCAATCGTTCTTATATTATAAATTCGAATGATTTCTCTCTTTCTCACCCTTTCTTTCCAGCTAGCTTCTTTTCGTATCTTTTGTATCCCTTGTTGAAATATTCGCTCTTTGTTTGACCTTCGTTAAAATTGCATTTGCTTGATGCATCATATTTATTCGATTGCCCCGTTCGAAAAAAAAAAAAATAGAAAGGAACAAAAAAAAAATTCAATGAAACTGTCGCGATTGGAATGTAGTATGGCTTTTCTTGAACGAACTATACATACGTGTACTTATGTACATATGTATAATATATATATATGTCGTACATCCTTTGTGTTTTATGCATGCGTGCATGAACTATTTCTTTGTTCCTCTTGATCTTACTTATTTCGGAGGAAAATACGAACGCTACAGGATAAAACAGGATGTAAATCGATCCCCCTTCTTCACCAGCGTCGTTTTACTTTAGCGACTTTACGTCGTCGTCGTCGGTGGTGGTGGTGGTGGTGGAGGTGGTGGTATAATAAAACCACAAAAAATCAAGTCCGGTTAATCGATCGATAAAAAGGATACCAACGGGGATATCAAATTACGGAATATCGTGTGTGTTTCTATAGCCACCCATCTGTTTCTCGTGATTTATATAATCTTCCCAATCCTTTTCTCTCTTTTTTCTTTTTTTTAATACTTTCAAATTTAGGAAGGAAAATGTGTCAGAAGAAGAAATAATAGCAATTTCATGTAATAGGACAGTTGATATCTTGTATACGTCGTCATTTACACGTTATCATCGACGTTATAAAATTGGTAGGTGGAATACAAACCGGATTTAACTTTGACCGGAAATGAGAGTCTGACGTGTCCGAGATACGGAAAAGTACTTACGCATGTACCCCGTTTGATAGTGCTTGGAATGTTAACGAACTTCAATTACTTTGTTCTTCATCTTTTCTCCCTGATACCAAGAGAACACACGAGAAGAATAATAAAAATATCAATTACTTTATAATTTCTCTAGAGAAATGTACGAAAGTGTTAATAGACAATTGTATTTTATTCAATTACGTGGTTACAAGCAATTGCAACAACATTTACAATTAGATTATTAAAAATAAAATCTAAAGCTCTAATGGTTTTCTTTTACGAGCTTCGTGTTCCAGATTAGAATTTCCGTGTTCGTAAGTAGACACAATGCAGTTCTCTTTATGGACATATCGATTTGCGGGTTGTGTAGTAACCACAGCGCGATATCAGCGTTTCCTTTGCTTCGTCTGCTTCTATCTTTCAACACGAAACTAACCATTTTCGAATAATTTGTATAACTTAATTGTAAAAAAAGAAAAAAAGAAAATACAAGAGTACATTTATGTACGACAAATTTCAATTAAATGTTAACTGATTGATTAATAACTGACGCAAAAGATAATCGACGATTAAAAAAAAAAAAAAAAAACTATTCGCTATATAACGCAAGAAAATACAATTAAAAGGCGTACATGCGCGATAAGGTTTTAAAAAAAATAACTTACACTTGAGCGTTTAATCAGACAAGATATTTAATAAAGTAGACAGCAAAGAGAACAAATGTTTCTCCTCCGAGACATAAAAGAGAATGGACGATGTGGTTTTTTCCTTCCGAGCGTTGTCTGTTCAGTTTATATAAGGGCCTTAAAAAAGAACAATGTTACAACGTAATAGACCTTTGAAACAATTTGTTCACTTTTACGAGAATAACAATATTTTCTCTTCTGCTATATGATTATCCTTACCCTTTGATATTTTCCGACAAACATAGAAGATTATATTTTCTATTTTTTTTTCATTTTCTCTCTCGTATTTCCAACGAGACAAGAATTTTTTCTGGTTTGTACGTTTGTACCTTCAAAGTATTATTCAACAGTTTTTTAAATTAATTATATCGAGGTTAAGCGACCAAAAAAAAAAAAAAAAAATAAAAGAGACTTCAAAAACGCTACATAAATTTTGACGAATGTTGCCAATTATTGAAATGTTCGTATGTTCATTTTTAATAACGTGATAAGAATTTTGTCATAGATCACATCAATTCTAAAATAAATGATATACTCATTTTGAAAATAATTCTTTCCAATGCGTTTTGTTTGAACTTACTTCGTTCCAACAGGGCGTGGTCTTTGATCGATATCATAAAAAGATCAGACGAAACTTATTATCTACAATAGACACACTCGAACTTCTATATTAAATGAATATTACGCGTCAAGATGGTTTTTTTTTTTATAGTAAAAAAAACGTATTCTCATTCACGTATGCATTCACGATAGGGACTTTGGAAAAGCTTTTAATTCTGACTCCTCGTTGATTTTATTTGTACCTTTTGTTTCATAAAACGATTCCGTGAAAATACTGACCAAATTAAAACGTGGAAAATGTGAATGGTAAAAAACGAAAATTAACGTAAAAAGGAACCCCCTTCTTGACGAGAAACTACTCGTTATACAACGAGGCCAGTAATTCAGCGAGTAATAATTTTGCTGGGTACATACTGCGTGCGTCAATTGCACACGCGCGGCTTCGTTTAAAGTGCACTTTCATGGTGCACGGTTAGAATCTTGCGAACTCTACTTGGAAACTATAAGAGCTTACGAATTAAAGTATCTCTAGTCAAATCTAATGGGTATATAATATAACTATTAACGGTTAACACGTTCGTCGTCAGGCCCAAAATTCGACTGTCAGCGCGCCGTAACGTAAACAAGCGATAAGTAGAAATATCAACAATGCAACTCGAGTGTATTATGTGGTTATATTATTATATTATATTTTATTTATCGAAAATAATAAAATATAAAAATATCTTTTATTTACAATAATTTATTTTTTTATAATAATTTTGTTTCGAAATGGAAAATGTGATAAGTTTTTCCAATGAAAAATACTATAACTTCAATAAGAAGAGCGTCACCGTATACGGTGCCATGGCGACGAACGTGTTAAAAAAACAATCGAAAAGTACGCGTTGCATTTTTTCCCCAACGTTTGCTATCTTATCTCTATGATAGTTCCATATTTACATTTATTGGAATGAGAAAGTCCGTCTGTATATATGCATTATAATATTTCCGTATTATCAATAAAATCAATTGGAATAACGGAATTGTACACGAGAGGTGTGCATATAATATCGATTATCTAAAATACCTTTTTCCCAGCGTACTTCACTACAAAGTGTTTCGTTAAAATCATTATGACATTTAATTTAATACACATTTAATACACCAAAAGGGCGACTTTTTTTTACTCTTTTTTCAACTGCGAATTTATATTGGAGAAAACAAAAAGAAAAAAAGTTTAATTTAATCTTCTTTTCTTTTACATCGAGAAGAATAGAAAAATTTAATGAAAAAATAAATCTCTGGATTACGAGCGTGAAAATATATTCCTTTGTCTTCTCTGTAAAAAAGAAAAAGGGCGTACACAAGAAACGACCAAAAAAAAAAAAAAAAAAAAAATTCATTTATTGAAACTTTAATAATCAAGAGAGTTTTTTTCCCCATGCTTAGCACGATGCCTTCGTGCATGCGAGATAGTATGGACGATATCGAGCTGAAGAATATTCAGTTACAATTTCCGGCGCTGAGGTATTTGTCGAGAGACGATAGTTCTGTACGAGAGGAAAGAGTAGAACTGGACAAAGGTAGTCTGCTTGTTGCCGTACAAGGAAACCAGTCGAAACCAGCGATTCTTACTTATCACGATTTAGGCCTTAATTGTAAGTATCAATGAAAATTTACATTTTAAAAGGTTAACTCACTTAAATTCAAAAATAATAATAATAAATGAAGGCATCTTGCAAGTGAATCAATATTTCTACCGTCTTACAAGTTCGCGTGTGATATATCGCAATTACCCCTAGTAACTTTCCAAGGACTCTAACTTTGCAACTTTGTAGCATAAACGATTTTTCAAAATAATGTAATTATTTTTCTTTTTACAACCAGCCCCGATATAAGAGAAATGATTACCAATAAAATGGTTTCATCGTATTAATATAAAAATGTCGTTATTTTGTAGATATCTCGAGCTTCCAGGCGTTCTTCAATTACATCGATATGCGTGTTCTCCTTGAAAATTTTTGCGTCTATCACGTCAATGCCCCTGGTCAAGAAGAAAATGCCCCGGCGTTTCCGGAGGAGTAAGTATCCATGTATATAACATATACTACACAGACATAGCTACTATTATAATGAAAAACTCGTTTGGTCAAAGAAACTTATAACTATTCTACGTCTTCTACGTATAGCATAAAAAGTAATATTCACGGTACGTTTCACGGGAACATCCACCACACCCACCACGTACACACCGAAAACCACAAAGTCTCTTGTCGGTGCTAACGAGGTCACTAATTAAAAACGGATTATCGCATGTACGATTCGCGATGGAAAATACCTCTGGCTGGTGTTTATACACATGCTTACATATTTTCTATTCTACTTGGCAACATGACCCTTATATTTGTGAATAGTTTAAATGGTATCACTGGGTAGGGAAATTAATTAACGCCAAAATCAATGAACCCATCAACGTTCTAATTAATCGAAGCCTCGAAGTACGAAGCCTGCTTTCGGTTTCCTTTTCCATTAAAGTCATTCGCAATGTTCTTTAGATTCCTTCCGTTTCTTTACATTATAAGGATTCAATAATTATTATTGGAAATATAAAGCTACAAAGAGAAACATTATTATTTGAATATCTATTGAATAAGAAGAAAATGATTGAGTTGCGTAAATTGTAACAATAATATAGTGAATGAACGAGATAGAAAATGATGTAACGAGCAATGCTGTGTGCTAGAGGAGAAGTAATTTTACCTATTACTACGTTCTGCGCATTCTCATTCGCGTGTCAAGTTCAATGAGAACGTATATGATGATTTAATTGTATTACTTTTCTTCGAAAACTTTCATTATAATATAAAGTTAAAAGATATTTTTATTTCAAATTTGTTAACAATTTATTAGATGAATGATCTAAAAGTTGATCTTTTTTTCTGTATAGTTACATTTATCCGTCCATGGAGGAATTAGCAGAACAGCTGCTTTTTGTTCTTGGTCATTTTGGCTTAAGATCTGTCATTGGTTTTGGAGTTGGTGCGGGTGCCAATATATTGGCTAGATTTGCACTTGCACATCCAGAAAAGGTCAATGCACTGTGCCTGATCAATTGCGTATCTACGCAAGCAGGATGGATCGAATGGGGTTACCAGAAGCTCAACGTTCGTCATCTGAGGTCACAAGGAATGACGCAAAGCGTCCTTGATTATCTGATGTGGCATCATTTTGGCAGGGTAAGATTGATACATGAATATCATGAACTTGTTAATTAACAATTGCGAATTACGCATCCATGAAGACGAAGTGCATCGATACTCTTAGTAGGTAATCTCGTTTAAAATAACTCGTTCGCAATGCAAGAGGTATATTTGTCGTAGTAATAGCGTGGTCATTTATAGCGAAACTTCTCCATGAAAGATTTATTCGATAGACACGCGTACCATTTGAGTAAACTGAAACGCTCGATGCTCCATCGAGTCGATCAAGCGGACGAGGTTCGGGTGAAAGCGTACAAAGAATTATAGACGACAAAGCTTCGAGCTCTCCTTCAACGGCATTCGCTCGTGAACGCATCTATGCGAGGCGAGAAAATTGGATTAGCGCGTCAGCGGCAATTTCACCGCCCTTATTATGCAACACGTAGCTTCTTAATAGGTTTACCGGGTATAACGTACAGTGCAGATATATTTACTCAACAAGAAAAAGAACAACAAGAAAGACAAATTCTCTTTTTCTTCTGTACATAATCGAAGAGAAACTCAGAAACTCATTTTCATGATGATCATTAAGTCAAATTCGAAAGTTAATTCAATGGGAGTAGTCCTTTTTACCAAAGATTTCTCCGTTCCATTTTTTACTTACTCTTAATGACGGTTTCTCCATTCTCTCTTTCAACTTTACTTTTTTACTTTACTTTTTATGGAACGGAGAAGAGAAACCTTCCCCCTCCCCCCCCCAAAAACCGAAAAGTTTGACGATCCAGTTCCGGGATCCAAAGATTGGATAATTATAAAGAATTGTAAATTGAATGTTGTTTTTTTGTGTTCTTTCAGGGTACGGAAGAAAGAAACCACGATCTCGTTCAAGTGTACAGGAATTATTTCGGACATCGCGTTAATCCGATAAATCTAGCATTGTTCATCGACAGTTATCTGCGACGTACTGATTTGAACATCACCAGAGAACTGGATCCTACACGCAAGAAGGAAGGTCTTACGCTTAGCGTACCAGTCATGAACATCACGGGTGCTCTGAGTCCGCACGTGGACGATACGGTCACGTTAAATGGACGGTTAGATCCAACGAACAGCACCTGGATGAAGGTGAGAATTCTAGAGTCCTAACGCATCGAATAATCGGCTTTCCGGCTTTCGAATCTGGAGCAAGTGCCTTTATCCGAGGCTAGCCGAATTCCAGCAGTTTGGTCTCTTTCTCCAGTGTAGCATACCGTTAAGCGAAATCCATTTAAACCGCAAGCTCGTCGTAACCCCGTAGTGATGGTTCTCTACTACGTACATACGTAATTGTACACAACTTGTTTGTTTCTCATTTAAAGTCGACTCGTATCGATTTTACTTTCACTTTGGATTTCTTTTCTAAGCATTGTTTATTCGATCAAATGATTAATATCTACAATTTTTCAGATCTCCGATTGCGGTATGGTCCTCGAGGAACAACCGGGCAAAGTAAGCGAGGCATTTCGACTGTTTCTTCAAGGCGAAGGATATGGTAAGTGAGTGCCGTTGCGAAAACCAAGTTAGAATTAATATTAACAAGAATATCAATCGGTAATCCTCATCGATCTTCATCCATTCGACCGTACTACCGCACACGCGCAGGCATACTTCATAGGTGAATTGCACGTGACCGTCTGGTAGCGGGGAAAATATTTGCCTGTTACCTGCATTTTACTGCCCCACGAGAACAGAACGCGGAGACACACACACTCGCAAAGGATCGAGAAACTTCCGAGGGACTCCCTTTTTTTTCAAGGCGCACTCAAAAATATCGATCGGGAGTTTCTGTAAATAGCTCGTACAAACAACACATACATGCATACATACATACATATGTATATGTATAATCGTATACGCCCATACGGCATCAATCGAATTCTTTCTTATTCTTTTATTTTATTTTATTTTTTTTATTTTCTTGTTCTTTTGTATAAACCAGATGGTCCCGTATTTGCTTAAACAAATACTTATTCGGAAATGTATTCTCAAGAGAGGGAAGTTAGTTCGCGAATATTCGTAGTTCTAAGTTTGTGGCCCCTATCGATCGGTATAGATCACATCGTATCGCTATTATTAGTAACATTTGGCCTAAACTGAGTAGTGTTGTACTATAGATACATAGTAAATCCTATTAACGATATCAAACATTAATAATTATCCTTTACTGACGCGTTTTTTCGAATAATTCAAAGATCGTTGACAAACGAACTTACGCTTTTAGAATACGAACATAACTTTTTCAATTTGTCCACGTAAATGCCAACAATTAAAAAATAACAAATAATTTAAGCTCGTTAAAATCTAGAAAATTTCTCAAGGTAACAATGCTTCACTAATTTTTCAAAAACAAAATGTCCTTAGGAAGAATTTTAAAGCGTAAAGTTCGACGACGATCTGTCCTTGTTTAGTAGAATTTTGATTCCGTTTGAATACTTGCTTTTGCAAGTGCAAAAAAAAAAGAAAAGAAAAAAAAGAACGCAGGATTCGCGTGTAAGCAAAAGTTGTGAAAAAAAAAAAACGAGCAACGTTCCAATTTCTTCTTCCGTTTTTTGGCTTTTTGATCGCTGTAACAACTAGCAGCACCTATCACAAAACACGTCGCAGCTTTTTTATCTCATAGTTAAAAAAAAATCTTTTTTCTTTTTTATTTATCGGTATAATAATACCATTAATTCTTTCTAATCATATTTAAATGGATAGCGTACGCGTAAAGCAAGCAAATAGAAAATAATTAGAGTTTGAATATGATGAATTATGCAATATTAAGAAATGTGCGAATGCGCTATCCAATAACAACAGCCAAGCTGTTGTTAATGCCAATCTCGATTGATTATCTCTGTCATCGTCTTCATCGCCATCATTGTCATGATCGTCATCGTCGTTAATTATTGTTGTTGTTACGATTTTCGCTATTATAAATCGCCTAGAGGTTTCATGTTGTACCAATGACGGGATTGTCCATCGCGCTTGGATCTTCGTGTTTTATGAAATATTAAAAGCATGCCAATTTCGCGGCTAATTGGGAAAATTAGAAAATGCTTATGTGAATGCCTTTATCGTTTGTCAAAATAATCGAAAAAAAAAAGAAATCGTTCGGTCAACAATGTCCTTGATTGATATCGCATGATTTTGAAGGAAATACCAAGATCCAACTAGATCCTTGATCATGTACTACTGTCCCGGTTAATCACCGGCTTCGACTTGATAAATAAAAGAGTATTTAAAAAGGAAAGATTCAAGTGAATTCGTTTTTGCGTCTCTCACCACCATTATCATTTTCTTTTCTGTGAGGTTATTTAAAAAGGAATGAAAAAAAAAATTAAAAAAAATATATATATATATAAAATAAAATAAAAAAAAGAGAAACGAAAGGCAAATGAAAAAAGTACTTGTTCACCGACTTGCGCCTTTATTTCCCACGCGTCTCGGAACGATCGAGGGGTACGTATTTATTATATCAGATCTAAGCAGAATTAGATGATAGTTTAGTTTATGCTTTTTCGCTTAATTTTCTTCTCTTTAATTTTCGCTAAGATCGCGAAAGCTCTATAATGCGCCTTCTTGATTGATTTAAACACTTTTAGTAGAAATAGTACTTACAATGTTTCTAAATAAATATATATATTGAAATTTAGGTAAAAAGAACAAAAAAAAAAAATAAAGACGCATTTCTTCGTCGTGGTTTGTGTCCATCTTTTAACATACTACGATTCGTAAATTTGTTGAATATTTTGTACACGTAGATGAATACATATCGTTAATAGACACGAGCCAAACGAAGAATCTAGCTTGCTCTGCTTTTGCGTGAAGTCAATTTTTGGAAATTGATTTCATGCTAGTAATAGCTTTTTAATGATTATGATAATTTAGACATTTAAACGACTTTGTTCTCTTATGCCTTTTAGCGGTGAGATCCTCGCGGAAGCCCATGACGCCGACAACACCCGAAGGTAATTGTAATTAGGAATTGAAGGCCGCAAGGAGTCGAGCGCGCAGTTGGTCAATTAGGCCACATCTATGTGTTAAGTAAGTCGGAATTTCAACTTTTATCGGAAAGTATAATAAAGAAAAAACAAAAGAGATTAATTGGCGATTATTATATTTTGGATAACGAATTTGGGAACCTGGGCTGCGTTTGACGGGAGAGAATCGGTGAAAGATCGATAACTAACTACCAACTTTCTTTTGAGTATCACGCTACTACTTTTTACGATAGCATCTATTTAACTAGCTTTTTTTATATTGCCAAACTCGACATTCCTTCTCCGTCCTATAATAATATGCGTTAATCTATTCTACTTTATCGCCATAATTGTTGAGATTATTTCTCGCGAGCGAATTCGCGAGGGAAAAAAAACAAACTCCTCTTGAATTATTCTCATGATTTTTTTTTTTAAAACTACAAGAAAATGTTGAAGTAATTATAAACAATGAGATCTACAGAAAATGAACTTTCTATTCACCGAATTCGCTTGTTCGATCGGAACATTTATCGATGGTCGATAAGAGAGAAAATTTCTTACCGATGTTCGATAAATCAAAATTCTGTACAATCGTGTTACGTCACAAAAAGTGGCAGCAATCGACCTTTTGCGCTATCTTCTCGTGCAGGTGATTTGTAAATTAGAATTTTTATGTTGTACAGAGAAAAAGCGTCTCTTGTTGTAGCGGCACATACCGATGGTAGGACCTCGGAATAATCTTAATCTCTGAAAGAAAGAACACCGCATCTGGGTAGTAGAATATTTCCATTTGTGCAAAATCACATTGTGTCCTGCTGTATGCACACACACACACACAAGCACACAACCACACATGCAAACATACAAACATACACAGTATACAATTATACAAGCACAACACACGCCCGCGCAATACAAAATAAAAATACCTGTAAACGCGAAAAACGCAACACTATATACATACGATGAACAGCAACGATACACTCAACTCTCTACTTTTACATTGCATGCGTGCTTGCCACTTTGATTTTTTTTTTCCCCTTTTGTTTTTTGATCGATAATTATTTCTTACGCGTATATCTCTTATGTATTCGAACAAGGAAAGAGAACGCGCGAGTCATGGCTGATCGGATTACTAAAAGCAGTGGTGTTCTCATGAGGAGCAACCAAAAAAAAAAAAAAAAAAGTATCAACGTAATGATAAAGATGATTTAAAACATTTCCATTGATTTTTCTATTTCAGTGGCCCCACTTTCGCCATTGAAGATGGCCGACTATAGATTGGCTTCTCTGGAAGGACTGAATCATGTTTGCAGCAAGAAAATCGATTGGCCTACAGCGACTATACACATCACTGAGAATCCTATATCGGAAGCGGTTGTTTGTTAAATGTTTCTCGATGAATCTCAACCACCAACACCACCACCACCAACCCCCTATTGAATTTTTCTTTAATTATAAGACTTACCTAATCTATACGATAGATCAGACGACACGACGACTAGAAATAATTTTCAAGGTTTCGTCGGAGCAACGATCGTCGTAACACATTCGTTTTTAATTTACCCCCTTCGAGCTGATATCGCACTAATTATTCTTCTTCAACTGCGATTTCAGTTTATATATTACATTTTATTATTATTATTATTATTCTTTTGTTTGCTTTCGCTTTTATATTCTTACGATTGATTTTTTTCTTTTTTTTTTTTTTTGTCAAATTTTTATCGTATATAAAGAAAATTACTTGATATAACTGTGATGTGCGAAACTGTGTTGTTTTACAAAATAAAGAAAGAAGCAAAACGGATAAAAGGAAGATAAAGAAAAATAGAGAGAGAGAAAGAGAGAGAGAAATATATATTACGAGTCATTTCTCGAATGTCGTTGCATTTTTAAAACGTGACTTATCACAAATTTTCTAATGTTAAGGAGGATAACAAAAAAAAAAAAAAGAGAAAAACTAATTAACGAGTTTACCAGTTCGTATAATTTTAAAATTGATATTAAATAATTTTAACGGTGCTTTTAAAACGAAAAACATTTGTATTAATACAATTTTACGACGCCTTTAGAAAAATGAACGAAAACACACATGCACACCACACATTTGCGATAAGTCGACAACGCTCATTGTTGGTCATCGTTAATAAAAAAAAAAAAAAAAAAAAAAAAAAAAAACACAATGACGAAAATATCGCGAGACACGAGATTTTTTAAAAAGAAAATTGTCAATCAGTAAAAAAAAAACCATCATCGAACACGTTCATGAATAATCCAGAGGATAGAATAATTTTCTTTGCAAATCCTCAAACACACAACGAATTTGCAATTTTTTAAACGAGAATAATTTTACCAACCGTTGAGGGGAAAAAAAATTGAACTGAAATATTACTTTGGCGTACATATCGGGACAAGAGAACGAATAAATTTTCTTTTGTAACGTTGTCTTCATAAATTATGCCAACGTTTACGATCGGAGGTGAATTTTTATGCAGATACACACAAAAAAAGGCAAAAACTCGAAATACGATACTTCTTTCATCCCATAAAGCACTATTAATAATTAATTATATACACACACGCAAACACACACACACACACACACACACACCAAATAAATATACAAGTGTAAAAAGAAATCAAAAAAATTTAATGAAATGAACAAAAAGTAGAAGAAATTATACGGTAGCATTGCGCGGAAAATGAATTAAAAAACGGAGAAAATCGTGTTTATCCGTGACTGAAATTAATCAACAAACACACTGTGTCGTCTATCGATTTTTTTCAGAAGAAAGAGAACAAAACAAATGAAGATGTGATATTTACGTGCAAATGTAAAGTTTCGGCGATGATAGTAAGAACATTTCAGTTGATGATGTTGCTAATTAGATCGTCTCTGTTAATGCCATGAAGTGTCCTAGCAGGGGGAAGGAAGGAAGAGGGGGACGTGGTTTATTGGCCTAAAGATGAAATCGAAGGACCTACGATTTAGGTGCAGATAAGCCAGGATACAAATTTTGAAGTTTTACAGAAAAATTTTTTCGAGAACAAATCGTTGTAGAATTTATATGCTGCTATCTGTTCTCGAAAGAAATTTTGGATTGATCCTTTTTCCCTTTCTACAAAGAATTGTTGTAGAGAGAGAGAGAGAGAGAGAGAGAGAGAAAGAGAGAAAAAGAAAGAGAAAGAACGCCTAAATTATATTTGCGTTCTTGCACTGTTCGCACTGTTCGTTTTTTATTATTTCAAAGTGTATATAGATACACATAGAAGACAACAAATTATGGCAATGAATGATCGACAATGTGTTCGAGTGCCAGCGTGTACGTGTAGAAAAAGAAAAAAAAAAGAAGAAATCTATAGTAGAAGAAAATATTAGATAGGTAGTCTCTAAAGTAAATAAATAAGTCAAAAAGATCTGGTTTATTACATCCGCATGGTTCTACCAGGCTCTTTCAAGCCTCTAGCGTGATATGATAAGACGTGCCTGCTACATGATGTTGTACTACGTAGTTTTCGAAAGTTCCACCCCGCCTTTAGTTTTATATGTGATGAGACTATTCTTCGTATCAGATTTTCTCGTATCTTTGTGCGTTCACTATTGCGATAACATCTCACTTTTAACGAAATGAAGAAACAATAAATGGCCAATTTTTATCTTTATTCTTTATATCTTGTTATAAATTGAGTTGTTATTATTGACCGGTGAAAATAAGTTTAGGGAAAATAATATATATATATATATATATAAATATATATTTTTCTTTTAATTTTTCTTCCTCCCTTTGAAATCGTCAAAGCGCAAAGAAACGAGAAAAATGTCTGAAAATTAATTACACAAAGATTTCGAAGATAAGACTTAGTCGCTCTATGTAGATGAGAAAGTTTGTAATGAAAAACCGGATATATGTATAATAGATGTATGTATATCTATGACGCGTTGTTTAGACTGTCGCGAATATAATAGCAAATTAGCTTAATATTACAGAAGTTCGTGGCTCGATTCGTGAGAATTGAAAAGGATGCAGAATGCACGCATTAAAAAAAGCTGCTAACGTGAAAAGCTCTAAGTAAGTAAAAATAACGTAGCCTTTAAGGACCATCGATACACCGCCAATAATATACGTATATACCCTAAATTTTCGTGTTATTTCTCATTATTCGTTATCAGAGATTCAAGCCGACTGTTAGGTTAATTGCGTACTAGATTGGATCATTCGAAATTACGATTAGAACTAACAAAATCAATATATATATATAAATATAAATACCTGCATTCGATTAAACATATCGACGAAGAAGAATTTGGTGAACGCTAAATACACTTTGAATTTTCGATTGTCGGTACGATCTTTTAACGATACGATTCTTTGTCGAGAAAATCTTCTCAAAGTGCATATCAGTAACGTATGGTATATCAAATTGTAAACGACGATCCACCCACCCACCTCTTCCCCTTTTCGTATGTGAAATTGAACGAAACAATAGGAAGATAGAAAAAAAAATGTTTCCTTTTTACATTAAATATCGGTATACATACTTATTCATTTTTACGTGCGTCACGACAAATCGTATCGATATTAATTTTTATCATGTTACACGAGATTTTAACTCGCATATAATTAAATGAATTCGGATTGGAAAAAGAAGGACCGAAAATAAAATATACAAAGACGTCTGCCTATTCATGGGATCTATCGTTTTCATCCGTCAATACGTTCAACGCGCGACGAGATTTAATATTTCAAATCAAATGGTTTTTTTTCTTTTCCTTCGTTTCTGTATTTTTTTCTTTATCTCAATTAAATTTCCGTACTTACAATTTCTCGATTTTTCTCGTATCTTTTTTTTTGTTTTGTTTTTGTTCACGCTATACTCTACCTAACGTAGCACGAGGCGTACTGAGTACGGGGCGTAAATGAAATATAGCACAGTAAGAGCAAACTCTACTTATTGTTAGACGCGGAGCTTGAATACATATAAAATACGTTATACTGATTAAAAAAACACGTGCGCACTGAACAAATACATCTTGTTATTTATAATAAATCAATTCAAAAGCAAATATTTATTATTTCTACTATATAAAATTGCTCGATGTTCCTCCTCTTATATTTTATATTTTATCTTCAATTGATATATACATTTACGACGGTAAGCAAAGTGAACATTTTTTACTAATCTCTTTTGAAATATTTCGGTACTAGTTTCAACTATAATTGTCATCCATGTGAAAACCTGTGGATTCGAGTGCCGGTATAATCAACTCTTTGTGGAACGAAACATCCTAATTTTAGCATCAATTATATATAAACTGCTTTTATTATTTAACACAATAAATGTTGATTTTTGTAAAATTTCGTTTCCATTTACTTTCCAGAGCCTGAATTGCGTTTTGTGATTATTTTACAAAATAGGAACTAAAATTGTTATTCTCTAATATCTTTCTATTCATAGAAAATGCGTTAATAAAATGAACAACTTTCTTGTCATAGATATTTGCAATGCATAAAATGTATACGTTTCATGGTGATATGAAAATACCACTTCTACTTACGCACCTTCTTACATATACATAATCGAGATAAAAAAAAAAGTGTTAAAACCGATAAAGAGTAAACCTGGTAGGACTACACTTCCCGTCAATTTTCTCACGACTACTTTTAACCCATTACAACATTTCGAACACCCGTTCGGTCACTCGTGTGGAAAGATTAAAACCACGAGTAATATATTTGCATTCTACGCACTTAAACTACTGTTACTTTAAAATAATAATTTATTAACTTTTTTTAAATGATTAATAAACAGACTAATAGTTAATGCAAAATCAAAAACGAAATGATTTAATAAACATATGGTTTTTTTTGTTGGTTTAATCAATCGATTCAGTATTCAGTGAATTTCAAATATTTATTGTAATTTGTTGTTGGAAAAAGCATTAATATTCTTTGAAATCAAGATTTGTTATTCTTGTTTCGTGCAGGTGTTCGTTAATTCCTAGTTATTTACGAAATTGCGCAAAGAGTTTTCTCGCATAGGAGGTATCTCACGTACATAGGTACATCGGTCGATCGCGTACGCGTTTCAATGACGAGAAAACCTGTTTCCTTGAGCGATTTTTGCGACGATAAAACAAGACGCGTCTTCGAGGAATCGACGGCATCGTACGCAACAAGTACGTTTACCCTCTCTGATTTGCAATGATCGCTCGCTCGTGTATATACGCGTATGTATGCACGCCTATGTATGCACCGCGTATGTATGCACGCCTATGTATGCACGTACACCACACACATTTACGTTATACCTTCTTTTTGTACTATCCCTTTTGGCATAATCGGAAACTTACTTACTTTTTCGTTGCATCTTCTTTTTCTTCCGACTTCTATACGTCATTCCAATTTCGTTGCTGTCCATTTTTTGTTCTCCCGCTTGATCGATGCAAATCAACCGCCACTTTATAAAATTCCATTTACAAATTTGCGTGCAAAAGTAACGAGTAA